AATATATGAGTTTGTATGTAATGTATGAATATAATATACAAGTTTCACTTTTTAAATGGAATTACTGAAATAAATCTACTTTTTCATGATATTCTAATTTTATGACCAGCACCTGTAGGTCTGACATGTCTGTGAATTTCCTCCCACCATCTGAAACAACTGTTCAGCTCAGCTCCTCTCTTCCCTTTAACTTTATTTTGACATTTACTGATTTTATTTCTTTTCTTAAACTGAAATGAGTCACAACTGATTTAAATTTAAATTAACCTTTTTTTCCCATAACACATGCTTCTTTGTTGCACATTTTGTCTTCTGTGGCTATTTTATTCAAATAAAAAATAAAAACATGGACTGGATTAAATTCTCAGGACAAAATAAAATGGGGTAGTAAAGTTACTGAACTTGAAGTTTAGGGTAAATTCAAGCAGTTCCACAAAATGTTTGCATAGACCAGTCTGTCTTCAAGCTCAGATTCCCTTGGAGCTGCGGGCTTACCTTCTGATAGTGCAGAGGGTTGTCAATGGCATAACACAGAGTAGAGATAAAGTTTGGCTTTGATATCAGCGACACACACTCTTGGATCAGAAACTGTGTCTGAGGCCAGAAAAAAAAAAAAACAGAAGTAGATCAAAATAGGCAAATATTAAAATCCAAGTAGAAATAAATAATAGTCATGTCCTGATGCATTTCAATAATCAAGGGGAAAAAAAGGTTCAATAGTCAGACAGGTTCTTTTTGTAAAAATTAATACATAAATAAAATCTTATCTCTCCTCCAAGACACTTCTTCAGTCTGAGGAGTTCCAGGTGAACTCAGCCTTATAACCAGTACTTCCACTTGTTGAACAAACAGGTTTAACAATGACAATCAAACTGGTGTTCACATGTTGTTAGTGCCCTGATTCTCTATTGTTCAGAGGACCACCAGGGCAACATGGCCATGGGCTGGATACTGGTTTTAAGGTAAACTGTGATATGAAAAAGTCAGGTTTGGGTGTCTGATTTTAAGTGTAAACAGAACCCATCCACCGGCTCATCAACACAAATGTACATAAAGAGTGACAGTTTCATCCGTGTCCATGATGACATCCCTCACCTTGTTCACAAAGTCCACATGATGTGTTCTGTATGTGATGATCTGACACGCCAACTAATGGACCAAGTACTGATGCCAGATATTTGGGGARACTAATAAAGTTAATCATGGTAACAATGGGTCTTACCGGTACATCCTGTTTGTGAATTTTGGGTAAACCACACAGACTAGGAGTGGTCTCACCTGGGTACAGTGTGTGGTACAGAATGAGGCCATTAGCCCTGTTCTACTCCAGACGTTTTAGGCACTATTAACGTTTTGTAACCATTACCTGGATCTCTTTTCAGTGGCTCGTATGTGGTTAAGTCACAACCAGTTGGCCTGTCATCATTTGTTTGTCTACCTTTGTGGAAGTACTGCTTATAAGGCTGAGTTTACCTATAACTTATGAAGAAGTTTATGAAGAGATGAAATGATTTTTCAAAAATAAAAACCCATCCAGAGGACCCCAACCTTTGAAATTCAGCTAGTTCATTATGACTAAAAACGTAACTCTTTTCAGAGCAGAGAACAGATTTCTTTCATACAAAATAAACTAGTATACAATAATACAAATTGGACAATTTATCCATTTTAAAACAAAATTAATAAAATCCTAAAATGTGTTTTTGAAGGAGAATTACCTGGTGAAAGTCTTTGCCACTGCTTTTACCATCGCCACTGAAATCCACATGGGAAAAGAGACAGCGAAGTAGATGCCTGTCTGCCTCAGGACCGTGACGATTTACAATCTGGACAAAATGTGGACAAGATATTAATAATCCACAAAGAAATCCTCACATAACCTTTTTTATTAGGAAGTAGGGATGTCCCGATACCACTTTTTCACTTCCGATACGATACCGATATTACAACTTTGAGAAATGTCCGATACCGATATTGACCGATACCGATATTGACCCGTTACTATAACAGTGCAAGTCACACACTTTTACCTATTTTGTAGTAGGGGTGTCCCGATCCGATATCAATATC